GGAAGAGGCCAGCACACTCACTGAGAAGATCAACACAGAGGTAAATTTGCCTCTGGATCTTGCCCACCAAAAGCCACACCTAGATCCTGCCCAGGAAGATCTTTTGACACTGTCCTCAGGAGGCTAGCATGGGAGTAGTTCAGCAGCACCAGACCCAGCCTAGAACAGAAGGATAGGGTGGCCTTTTCCTGAGCCCATTGGCTGCAAGTGTCAGTGTGGTTGATCTCTGTCTGGAGTCCTGGCTGCTACAGAGGACTCTGGAGGCAGAGCTAGAATGCAGGGTGCTTAGCCCTTTCCCTCTGCTGGGTCTTCACTACCTTGGTCTGGGGGTAACCATGGTAGGACCAGCAGCTCATTACCTGCCTACAGAATGGCCTTGGGGCCTTGTCCACTTATTCTCCACCCTTCCCCTATCTCAGTCCTGGCCTTTGGTCATCTTAGGGGTTCTTGCTGTCCTCTGACTCAGTATTCCCAGGCTGGCCCAGTGTTATTCTAGCCCAGGCTGTGGCCAGCATATTCCTTCCTAGGGAAGAGTGAGCACTGGGGGCTGGTACAGGCCTCCAGGTTTGGGGAATGTGGTGGTGCGGTGGGGGGGATCCAAGATGACACATGAAGGCAGAGAGGATTGAAGAGGGCCACATGCAAGTCTGCAACAGGAGGGGCACAGCCCAGCCAGCACAGTGATATGATGTACAGCCACCCTGAAGGGGTGGGGCAGAGCAAGGCACAGCCTTTGGGCACTCTGACCCACATCTAACCTGTGACACTGAGACTTAGGGGAGGGGTGGCTGAGCAAGGCTGCAAGTCTTCTGTGGATTCAGAAGAGACCTGGACATGGTGTGTTTACCAGGCCCAGGAAGATATGTCAAACCATCCAGTGTGGCATGTACATGGAACAGGGGTCAGAGGCCACTCCCTCCCAGGAGTCTGGCTGGATGGGATGCTGAGAAGGTACTCTGTGGGGCCACTTTAAGCTGTACAAGGCATAAACTCTCTTAAAAGGTTTTAAAGGTTTACACTGACAGGGAAAAAAAAATCAGGACGAAGTATGGGTTTTGTTAAGACTCACTTGTGTTTTTCAAATACAGCCCCATCTGAAAACTGCACACAGGCTACACAGATCCAAAGGTGTTCCAGAACACCGCTGATGGTCAGGGCTAGAAGTGAAGGCCGAAAGGAAGATGAGGGGGGCTGGGCATAGTCGAGGGTTGGTGGCCAGTTTGCTCTGAACTAAGGCATGAGTCAGTTCCATTCTCTGTATTTATAAAAACATGAAAGTCTCATAGAAAAGTTCTTACCAGAACCCACATTTTTAGTCTCCAGGTCCAGGCTTGAGGGTTGAGTGACTCTGCATTTAGTGGAAAATACATCCCATCCCCTGCCTCAGAATTACACCCCTGTGACTGATGGTCCTCCTGTATATGATCCTTCTTGGGATGGGGTGTCATACTGGTTATACCTGGGCTTCACGCCACATCCACTCTCTGTTTTTACCCTAAAAGCTAGCAACAACAGACTAGACCCCCATGCTAGGCTTCCTTCATCTCCATTCCAACATCTCCCCCGACACCCAAGCCCCATGAAGGGGCCGAGAACCCAAGGTTGAGGGCCTGGCTGCTGATGGGAATGTCCCCTGGAAAAGCAGCCTAGAGAAGGACGCATTATTCCTTCCTGGAGAAACATACCAACTGAGGGAGGGGGCCTGCTGCTCCCTGGGACCTCAGCAAGGGGCCTAAGGGTGAGGTGGAGGACCTGGCATCAACTCTCAGGATAGTGAGAGCATGATAGGGGTGGGGCTCAGCTGAGGTGGGAGGAATTAGGCCAGTTACAGGGACCCTGGTGGTGATCAGAAGTGAGGAAAATGACAAAATCATGGTAAGAATGATTTCATGTAAGTACTAGAAAAGATAAAACTAATCTACAGGGATCCAAAATCCCTATCAGTGGTAGCTAGGATGGTAGAGGGGGGGCAGGTTTTCCAGTTCACTGTGGTAGTAGTTAATAGTTGCATACATTTATCAGAACTTGCCAAATTGTACCAAAAATCTGTGCCTTTATATATAGAACATACCTCAAAAAAAAGTTCATTTTGCCAGGTGTGGTGCTGCATGCCTTTAATCCTGGCACAGAAACAGGCAGATCTCTGTGCGTTCAAGGCCAGCCTAGAGTTCCAGGTCAGCTGGGGCTACAGGGAAACCCTGTCTCAAAACAAAAACAAAAACAAAAAACAGTTCACTTTTATAAAAAGAATGATGGAGGGGCTGAACATGGGATCACTTGGGACAGCCCTGACTCACAGTGTGCAAGTAGACAAGTTTATTGCCCACTCTGAGATTGCTTCCTCACACTTTCAGAGAAGTGTGTCCTGGTGTCTTAAAGAGATAGCTACACAGTTATGAATGTGGAACAGTCATACATTGGGGCACTAATCATTAAAGAAACTTGGTCAGCAGAGGCTGTGGACTTTGGACTGGTCAGTAACTCCTAATGCCAATGTCCTCTGCTAAGGATGAGTTGGATGCAGTTTCTGCCCTCAGGGACCACCCCCCCAACCCCAAGAAGGAAACCCACAGGGAAATATGAGGAACTCTAACTGCAGAACAGTCCCAGTGGGTAGTGAGGTAGGAGTGTATGCATCCCAGAATGTCACTACCAATCAGGAAAACCTTCCTGGAGCAAGAGACCAGGATCAGAGCTCAGACTGCCCTGCAGCTCCAAGCTGTACCTAGTCTCTTCTGTGTTGTAATCTATAGATATTATTTCCCTACAGCTCCTTGGTTCACACCAAACCTACCTCCTCCATTAGAATCAGAAAGGATGGCTGATGTCAAAGCAATTCCCTTTGAACGGTCTTTTAAGTGCATTGCTTTAGTGTATCTAGGGAGAGACTGGGAACAGTAACACTGACATACGGAATTGTTGATAGATCAACAATTGTCTGTAAACAAAATCAGGGCTTGGTGTATCATGAGAGTCAAAGCTTAGTGAGTGACCATGGTTGGGGCTCAGTATAGACCAGGATCAGGTCTCAGTGTGTGATAAGGGTCAGAGCTAAGTGTATGACCAGGATCCGAACTTGAGTATATGATGAAGATCAAGGTTCAGTGAGTGATCAGAGCTCTGTGTGACCAGGACCAGGGCTCAGTGAGCAGAATCAGCACTCACTGTAGAACCTGGACCTATGTGGCCATAGGGCTCAGTCTATGACGAGGGTCAGACTCAATCAGAGACCAAGAACATCACTGGCCCCAAGTGCCTCTAGCCTCCATCTCTGGCTCTTCCAACTGTACCAAGCTGCTCAGCCAGCTCATGAAACAGCCTAGAGAGGAAGGGTCAGGCCAGCAAAGCTCTGTGGAACCATCTGTATAGTATTTATTGAAACCAGGCCTGGGGTGGGGGTGGCAGGCGATCTGGTGATGAATGCTGGCCCATGAGACCCAGCTGCCACACCCACCTATTGCTGAGGAGCTAGAGGGTGGGGAAATAGGACCCCCTTCTCTTTTCCTTACCCTTCTTTCAGAGGCTTCTGGGAACCAGAGAGGGAGAACCATCTCCCAGCTGGTTTGAGGTCCCAAGGGTCCCTTGGGAAATGACTGCAAACATTCCAAGGGGCTCCAGTCATAGAGTTGAGGCTGGCCAAGAAGTCCCCCATTCGCCAGGAGCCACCTCATCCTCACCCACCCTGTACTCTCAGCTTCCTCTCCATTCCAAGAAGGTGATATCACCCTGACTTCCTGGACCAAGCTGTCCCTGAGGCCCAGGCCCCAAAGAGAGTGGGTCCAAGGTCAGGGGCCGTGTGTGTGTGTGTGTGTGTGTGTGTGTGTGTGTGTACAGCTCTGTCAAAGGCTGTGATACCAGACTTCCCTTCTTCTGCCTCACAGTCAGGACCTGTAAGATAAGACAGACTGTCAGCAAGCAGGGACCCCACAAGCCCTCTGTAGCACTCCACCTTGCCTGCCCTTACCCTTTCCCACCCCACATGGTTGAGAAGAAGCTAAGAGGAACTTACTGCCTCTTTTCATCATTTACCAGAGTCCCTCAGGCCTGAGAGAAGAGAGGACTTAGAGGGCCCAGGTCACTCCCCTGTTAGCTGGCTATGGGACTAGAGTAAACCCTCCACCCCCATCCTTACCTATGTCCCCTCATTCTCAACATCAAGATCAGTCTGCCCATTGTGAGATGGGTATGTCTGGGCACCTATCATTTCTCCTTACTCCTGATAACTTTTGCTGGAATTCTTACTGGTAAGGGAAGGAAGGAAAGACCCTTGGCCCTGGTATAGCCTGGGGGACAAGTGGTCACCAAGACTGGAACAGTCTCTAGACTTCACCTAGACCTTGCAGGGGCAGGAGTCAGGCCCTCCCTCAGATTAGGCACCAGAGGTTTTCCACGGGGGAGGGCATGGACAGGTCTGGAAGCTGACAGCCAGAAGTGGTAGTGGGTGCCAGGAAGGACATATCCTGAGCAGCTCAGCTGGTACCAGGATGAGAATTCTGCTTTGTTGGCAACCTGCTCTAGGGAAGTGTTTCCTTCCTGCTCACGACCCCTGCCAATTAATATCCACCTGGCTTTGCCCATGATCCTTCTGGGGCCCACCACAGGCCAGAAGCCCAGTCTGTGCTGGTGGTCCTTGAATAACACTGACTGCAGAGGTGAGACAAGTGTCTTGGCTGGTGTGCAAAGGCTGGGGTGTGAGGACAGTGGGAGTGCCTGTCAGGGATTTACTAGTCCCCTTGGTCCTGCCAGGCCTTTGCTCATGCTATTTCACCTGCCAGACACCTTTCCCCTCTAGCTTCAGGGTCTTGCTCACATTCCCTCTCTTCTAGGAAATCTCAGTGGCTCTCACATCAAGCTATAGAGGCAACCACCTGCCACCAACCCCCTGAGCCCAAGGAGAATAGCCACAGGTGTCTGGGGTGAGGGGAGTGAGTCCCTGGGAACAGCAGTGGCCAGCCTAACCATTTTAGTGCCATGTTCTTCCTCTTTTCTACTCTCTCCAGGCCTCCCTGATTTGGTCCCAGACCCCAACTATGTGCAAGCATCCACGTATGTGCAGAGAGCCCATCTGTACTCTCTGCGCTGTGCTGCAGAGGAGAAGTGCCTGGCCAGGTAAGGAGCCGGGGATGAAGCAGAGGGTCTTGGGATAGTCCCTGGGAGTCACTCAATGCCTAACTAAGTGCTTTAGCCTCTCAGATCCTGCCACCCATCTATTAGTCTTGCCTACCTCAAAATGAAGAGAAGGGAAGAAGCCTATATATAGCACCACAAAGACCTTTCTACACTATGGTGTTTAATCTTTATACCAACCCTGACAGAATGTGCTGGCCCATCAGGAAACTGAGGCACAGTGAAGGGAACTAAAACCAATCATATTCGAATGACCAGTGTGGTCAATGTGGGAGCCAGGAAGTCCTACAGGAAGGGACAAGCTTCAGAGTGAGGACAGGTATGGCTTTGTCTGGCCCAGGCTATCTACCTATTCACAACAGGAAATGGGTAAGGCATGAGTAACAAAGGGGCCTCAGTTAGGCATTGTTCTAGAGAGAGGAGGAGACCGGGGCCTTGAGCCCAGGCAGTGAGCATACCCACTCTGCACATGATGATCCTGCCACCTGCAGAGCTTGCTTCCAGACTTATCAGCTCTTCACCTTCTGCTCAGCCTCTGTGCTTTGGGGCCATCTCCTTGTGCTAAGAGACCTAGTTAAAGGTGACGTTGACCTCCTATTCTTACACACATCAAGGCCAACAGCATTTTATTTTTTCTTTGCTCACTTTATCTTCTTACATTTTGAACTCTGTCTTTTGCCTTTTACCGCCTAGGAAACCCTTTGGAATGTCAACATTTACTCATTTCTAGACCTTCTAGTCCCCTGCCCCTCAGAGTAGCTGACCACAAGCTCTTATCTGTCTGTGGTAAGATAAAGAGCTTTCACCAACATGTAATACTCAATTTACTGCTTCTTCATTGAGAAAGTCTAATGTTAGAAAAGTAAAATGGAATGGTTGTGGTGGTGCATGTCTTTAAGTCCCGGTACTCAGGAGGCAGAGGCAGGCAGATCTCTGAGTTCCAAGCCAGCCAGGACTACACAATGAGATTCTATCTCAAGAAATAAATACATAATAATTAAATGAATAAAATGACACTAATGAGAGTGCTGGGTAGAGCAGACGATTTACATTCTGGTGCAAGTTCTTTAGCTCATCACAGATGGACTAAGTAGTCCCATTGCAGGGACCACACACAGAGGGCCACTCAATTGATCTGACTATTCAGGCCTTGTCTTGTGTCCCTTGTCCTTGGGAAGAGAGCGACCCATTTCTGCTGCCATTACTCCAGTGGTGAGCAGCTGAACCTCCATAGCAGCCTACCCAGTTCTGAATGGTTTTTTTCAAAGCCAAACTATCACTACTCTTCATGGAGCATCTCAAAGTGCTCAGCCCTGAGTTCCCAGATGGGTGAGAGGAGGAAGCCTGCCTTCTGCCCTGGAGAACCTCTCTAACTGGAGTAAGTGACCCCTTGTCCCAGGCCCTGATGGCAAAACCAAGCAAGCAACAGGAGTGGGGTGAAAGCCAGGATGCATAGCTCTGGGGCTGGGGCTGAGCAAGGTCAAGGAGGGAGGGGCCTACAGGGCTGTGGCCTCCAGGGAGGCTGGGTACTGGATTACAGACCCAGAAAGGCCTGCAGAGCTGGGGCCCTGCAGTGGGAGGAGGCTCCAAAATCATTTCAAGTGTGGGCTGGAGCTGGGGGCCAGGTCCCACACTGCAGGCTGAACCCAGAGTAGGGAAGAAGTTTGCTCCAAGTCTTGCCACGAGACTGTAGCCAAGCTGGGCCTAGAAGCTAGACCCTGCTGGTTTCCCACGATGTGCTGAGCTGAACAACAGGGCAGGATTTCACTGAACAGGGAAGGAGGATGTTTTGTTTCAACCCAGACACAGACAGATTCCAAGCCTCCCCCAGACAAGGCCAAGGGCTGCATGTCCTGGCAGACAGGAGTCTGAGCCGCCTGCTCTCCAGACATACTCTCAGAAAGAGCTAATCCCCAACAGGCCACCTCTTGCCTCTGGCCTCACAATCCAGCCCCAAATGAGGCCAGCCAGGACAGCTGTCAGCGGTCAGCTGAGAAGGGGGAGCCGGCAGCCAGGCCTCCTGTTCCTTGCAAGCCTGTGTGTGTGTGCATGTGTGTGTGTGTGTGTGTGTGTGTGTGTGTGTGTCTTCTCGCTGTTGGTCTCTTTTCTCTTTCTTCCCTGCCTCAGTTGGGAATTTGGAGTAGCAAATAAAGAGAGCAGACACTCTACAGCAGAGCCAAGCTCCCTGAAGGGGAAGAGGCCCTGAAGACATGCCATCAGGGAGAGGTAACCTGGTCACACCTACACCAGCCCAGAGTGCGTGTGGCATCAGGATGTGCTGTGGGCAGGATTGTGAGAGCTCACAGACAAGTCAGGGTACCTCTAACTGGAGTAATCGGGGGAGACTTGCTGGAGGAGGGGACTTGAATTGGGCCTAGGAAGCTAAATGAGCTCTTGAGTTCTGGGTCATGCAAACAAAATGGGGGAAAGAGGGAAGACTGATAGGAAACAGCTTTTGGAGCTGGCACTCTGGCTCTATAGTGGAGCAGAAGAGCACATGGGAACAGGAAAGTGAGGTTTTAGCCTGAGGCTGGCTCAGGCCTGACTTTTAAATCCACACCCAAGACATGGCATACTTGGGTCACCGGTTAAAGCTCTGTCCAAAGGAAAGAAGAATTAAAACCTCTTGGTATAGCTGTTTGACTTTATTTTTATTTATTTTAATGTGTGTGTGCACGTTGTGTGTGTGTGTGTGTGTGTGTGTGTGTGTGTGTGTGCGTGCATGTGGAAGTCAAAGGACAGTCCTGCGGTCATCTTCAGGAATGCAGTCCACCTTCATTGAGACAGGGTCTCTCATTGGTACGGAAGTCATCGATTAGGCTAGCTGGTCAGCAAGCACCAGCGATCCTCCTGTCTGTCTCCCCAGCCCTGGCTTTACAAACACACACCACCACACTGTTTTTTTCTTTTCTTTAATATGTATGAGTGTTTTGCCTGCATGTATGAAAATGCACCACATGTATGCAATGCCCATGGAGACCAGAAGAGGACGTTGGAAGGAGCTGGAGTTCAGATAGTTGTTAGCCACAATATAGGTTCTGGGAACTGAACCCAGGTCCTCTGCAACAGAAGCCAGTGCTCTTAACTACTTAGCCATCTCTCCAATCCCCACACCTAGGTTCTGGGGACCAAACTCAGGTCCTTTGCTTGTGAGGCAAACTAAGTTCTCTTCCCAGCCTCAGGGATGTTTGTTTTTAAATGACCTTCCAAAGATTTTTATATGACCTTAACTTTCCCCAGGGTGGTGGTGGGTGCTGTCCCTAGCTGAGTTACCTGCAGGCATCAGGGGTCCTCAAACTTATGACCTGAGTCCATTGGCAGCTGCCAGTCACACATAGAAGGCCAGAGAGGAGGGGAAGCCAGGACCTGTGAAAGAGCCCAGAGCCTCATCAGTGTAGAGATCAGATGCCAGTGTCTTTGGGGCAAGAGGGGACTAAGAGGACAGTAGCCAGGGTCTGGGTTTGGGGGATCATAGTACCATTCCAGTCTCCTTGTCTGTCCCCACAGCACAGCCTATGCCCCTGAGGCCACCGATTATGACCTGCGGGTGCTGCTGCGCTTCCCCCAGCGCGTGAAGAACCAGGGCACAGCAGACTTCCTCCCCAACCGGCCACGCCACACCTGGGAGTGGCACAGCTGCCACCAGTGAGTGGAGCCCTGGCAAGCCTTTGCAACCCATACTATGCCAGGAGCTTTGGTGCCTTAGCCCCTACTTGCTAGTCCTCTGGGAGATGCAACTGCTGGTTTCCACCCTGGAGAGGTGCTGCCAGCCAGTGGTCCATCAGTGGGCAAATTCCTTGGGGGTTGCTCAGTGAAACTGGGTTGAAAGATGGACTGTTGGACTGTAGAGTGATGGGTCTCAGGAGGGAATAGAAATGTCTAGAACATAGGTCTTTGTCCACAGGAGACCAGAACAGGCAGAAGTCCAGAAAAGAAGTAATGATCTTGAGGCGGTGGTATTCTAGGTTGGCCTAGCACCACAGGTGCCACTCTATGAGACTCAGGATAGAAGGATCCAGTGGTCAGGAAGCTGTAACAAAAGATCATCTGGTCCATCTGAGGAGGGGGACCGGAGGGGAGGCCCCAGGGAAATGAGGCCCTCTTCTCTTTTTTTCCCCTAGACATTACCACAGCATGGATGAGTTCAGCCACTATGACTTGCTGGATGCATCTACGGGCAAGAAGGTGGCCGAGGGCCACAAGGCCAGCTTCTGTCTGGAGGACAGCACCTGTGACTTTGGCAACCTCAAGCGCTATGCATGCACCTCTCACACACAGGTTAGGCTAGCATGGCAGGGTGGGCACAGAAGTACAGGAAAGGGAGTGGCCAGCCAAGAGAAGGACAGGTAATTGCCAAGGCTGTGTCCTCTCAGCTCTGGTTGAAGTGAGGGTCTTCTTTCTAGTCCTGAGGCCACTAAAGGGCCCGGCAGGGACTTCCTTGGTTTGCCAAAGCCCCTTACTGCTTCATTCTAAGAAGTGTCTGTCTTGGAGAGAAAAGAACATTGTCACTCACTCTGGATAACATGATGACCCATTTACCTGAAGAGGGACAAACGTCTTCCTACCCCAGTCTATATCGCCATTGGTTCATCCACAAAACCTCCATATGTCCAGCCTGTCTTTTTACCTCTTCCCCCATCTCTGCCAAGCATCTACCACTCCACTTCATACCCCCACTGCCTACTGCATCTCCACCTTTTTTCTGGTTCATCCATCTAGTGGCTCAACGAAGCTCAGAGTCAACATGGGCCTAGATAGGGAAGAAGCAGGGAGGCAGAAGACACTGGACTGCTGCAGGTAGGCATGGGGTGGCTCTGAGATGCAACCTTTCCTCTTGTCCCTTTCCCCAGGGCCTGAGTCCAGGCTGCTATGACACATACAACGCAGACATCGACTGCCAGTGGATTGACATAACTGATGTGCAGCCTGGGAACTACATCCTCAAGGTGGGCCTCATGTTCTCTTCAACTTAATGCCTGTGTTCTGTGTCCGCCATTTCTTAAATACACAGCCCCTGGCTGTGTCCCCTCCTCCCCCAGCTGCTTAGCAGGGCTTCCATTTGCAACACTATCTGAGGTTCTTTTCCCCTTTGATAGTTCATGTCTCAAGAAGATGCAACTTCTCTTTCCTTAGAGACCCTAAGGAACCTTTAGCCCCACTTTAGTCACAGGGGAGGTGATGACACCATTCTCTCTGAAGCGACAAAGGGCCAGAGAGCCATGTGGCCCATCTTCCCATCTGTGGAAGAGCAGGCTCTCAACTCACACCTGTCAAGTACTAGGGCATCTGTGACTAAGAGTCCTTTCTAGCAGGAACCACTCCTACCACATAGAGTGATGTGAACTCACCCATCCCTTGTACAGGGACAAGTAGGAAAGTGTGCTACTGGCACACAGTCTAGCTTAGCACAGCCATGCAAACTGTACAGGCTCACGTCCTTGTGGCCTAATCCAGGGAAGTCAGATCTTAGCCTCAACATGGAAGCACAAAGTGAGGGTGGAAGTCACTCTGCTGGCTCTCCTAGACTTCCTCCACACCAAAGTTCAGCATGGGGAGAGCCATGGGAGATGGCTCTCTCCACAGAAAGATGGGCTGTTGGAGAGATGGCCCTCAAAACACAAGATGGAAGTGTGCTCCGTGTGAGCCACAGGTGTGTGAGCCCTGCCTGATCTCTCCATTCAGCTTTCATCAAACACTACTGAAGGTCCTCTGAGTTCCTGGCAGTGGGTAAACACCACATAAACAATAGTAGGTCATGCTGTGAAAAGCACACTACGATTTAAAAGTAACATTTGTTTCTTTTTTTTTTAAAGATAGGGTCTCCCTATAGCCCTAGATGGCCTAGAACTCACTATGTAAACCAGGCTGACCTCCATCTCACAGAGATCTGCCAGTCTCTGCCTCCTGAGTGCTGGGACTAAAGGCACGAACCATCACACTCCCACCTGGCTCCTTTCTATTTTAAAATTTTTTACTTTTAAAAATATTTTATTTTATTTTTTATGTGTATGAGTGTATTACCTGCATGTTTGTAAGTGCACCCATATCGTGCAATGCCCACAGAGGTCAGAAGAGGACATCAGAGTCCCCTGGAACTGGAGTTACGGGTGGTTGTTAGCCACCATGTGGGTGCTGGGAATTGAACCCAAGTCCTCTGCAAGAGCAGTCAGTGCTCGTAACCTCTGAGCCATCTCTCTAGCCCCGAATTTACTTTTTTGTTACTACAGATGGGGCCCCATCCATGCTAGGCAGGCATTCTATCTTCATCCAGCCTTAAATGTTCTGCAACCTCTGTTCCTAACTGACCTGTCACTATATGCCCCTTTCAGATAAAAAGCACAGGGCATACTTGGGCCATCTTCTCAATGAATGTTGGCTCCAGGGCAGGGCAAGCCACCTGACATTAGGCACTTGACACATATCACCTGCACAGGGATATGTAGTAAACAGCTGTGAGTGTTGAACTCAAGTAGACCAAGTGTTGACTCCCTGCTCTACCCCTTCCTACAGCATTCTCAGGCAGAACTGGTGTCTGACCCACAATGCCCTGTGCAGGATCCACTTAGAGCAGGCTCTGACTCAAGGGACACTTCTGACCTTCTGCAAAGTGTGTGTTTGTGTCTGTGTGCTGATGATGCTTTCTTGAACCACAGCTGCTCCTTTCCCATCTGTATCTCTCTGTCCCCAAGTCTCTTTGTCTCCCAGTCTGTCTCCATCTTCCTGCCTCCCTCTATGTCATCTCTCCACCACCTTTTCCTGTGACCCAGTGAAGCATAGCTTTCCTACTACACCCCGTTTCTCTGTTTCCTTCTCCAGGTGCATGTGAACCCCAAGTACATTGTTTTGGAGTCCGATTTTACCAACAACGTGGTGAGATGCAACATTCACTACACAGGTCGCTACGTTTCTACAACAAACTGCAAAATTGTCCAGTACGTGCTTGCCCCTCTGCCCCCCACCCCAGCCACCTTCTAACCTGGAGAAGAGGTGGGACCCCTTGAAATACCTAAGACATCTACACTTTGGGTCATTGATCGCCAAACACAACTATGGCTAGGTCCAGCAGGAGGAGCCTTGTCTGTGCCAGCTGAGTGTTCATGTTTGGTCTCGGGCTGTGGGGTATTACCCTGAGACCCAATCCTGTGGCTTCCTAAAATTTTCAAATGGAAACTGGTAGAAGACAGAGTAGTCTAGTTAAGTACATGAAATCCTAGTTTTATGGGCTCCTTGCTCTGTAACATTAGATACCCCCTTTCCTCTCAGAGCTACTTTTCTTAATGATAGTCACTTCTCACATAGGCTTGGGATGAGGACTTCGAGGAACCTGATGTTGGCATAATCAGGACCCTAGCACATAGTGGCACTCAGAGAGCAGTAGATTGGATTAAACAGTCCCAGATTAGGTGTAATTCTAGTTGGAGCGAATGTCTGTCCCACTATTACTATCATACAGGCAGATAATAAAATCTAGACCTGGGCTTTTGATACATGGCTGCTAGGCAGGGTCCTTAGCTCCTGCTATCCATGGCCAGTTGAACTCAGTCTTTCCCCTGATTCCCTCTATGAAGTACTTTGCAGAGGGACCCCGTGTTTACATGCTCACAACCCCCCTCTACCTCAAGTGAATTTAAGATTTTTTGTTGTTGTTCTTTTTGTTGTTGTTTTGTTTTTTGAGACAGGGTATCACTGTGTAGTTCTGGCTGGCCTGGAACTCACTATGTAGACCAGGTTGGCCTTGAACTCACAGAGATCAGCCTGCCTCTGTTTTCTGAGTGCTAGAATTAAAGGCGTGTGCTACCAAGCCCCTTTAAGGTGTTTGATTAGATCAAAGTAATACTTTTCCATTAAAAATGCCCTAGAGCTTTAAGTTTAATCCATTAACTGGAGTTATGAGTAGAGACTCCAAGTCCCAGATAGGCATTTCCCCCCAAAAGTATGTGCTTGTCCAGGGATGGCAGGTAGAAGAAATTAAGCCCTTAGGGTCAGGCCTCAGTGTGTGATCAGGGTCAGTCTCAGTATGTAAACAGGATCAGGACTTAGTGTGTGGTCAGTAGCAGGACCCATTGAATGACCAGGATCAGTACTCCTTATATGACAGAGTCATTGTATGACCAGGGTCAGGGCTCAGTGTGTGACCGGGATCAGGACTCAGTATGTAACAAAACCAAAGCTCAGTATGTGACCAGGATCAAGTCTCAGTGTGTGACCAGGATCAGGATGGAGGCTGTGGCCAGAGTCAGCCCATTTAGAGATAGCTCCTTCATCCACTAACCTAATTGTTACTCCCCCACATATACACACAGCCTTCATTTCAACACAGAGATGGGATTCCTCAGGAGTAGGACCAGACCCCCATTATCCAGGGCACAGCCAGGGTGTGGAATGACTGACTCCTACTCAACTGGCAGTTTGACCTTCACAGGCCTGAGTTTCCAGTACCTTCTTTCTCTTTAAGGCCCACCTCAGACATTCCACATGCATGGGCCACCTGAGGAATAAAGGGTTTCTGGGAAGTAGGGGTGCAAAGGAAGGAGGGGAAGGGAAAGGAAGGAAGGAGAGAGAGAGAGAGAGAGAGAGAGAGAGAGAGAGAGAGAGAGAGAAGCTTGAGGGGCTGAGCCATGGAAATCACTTGGAAGTGGAAATGGAGCTACAGGATTTAGTGTTTGCTCTACTCCCCCTTGTCTTTAGAGAGAGAGAGAGAGAGAGAGAGAGAGAGAGAGAGAGAGGAGGGTCATGAAGTAAGCAAAGGAGGCTCTGGGGCTAAGGGAGGCCAGGAGCCTGCACCCCCTTCTGGCCCCCATCTACTGCTGGCAGAAGGGCATCAGGATAGTATCTAGGGTCCCAGGGGTCCCATGTATACTGTTAGGACCCTCAGAGGGTAGACAGAGAAGGAGCTGGGCCTCCCTTGTGTTCCCTTAAGGCCCGTGGCTATGGAGGCCAAGGCTCTTCCTTCCTAGAGCTCTTTACATAAGTGCTTGGAAAGGCCCAGGTCTTATTAGAGTGTCCCCGTGACCCTAACCACAGGCAGGCTGCTGGGCCAGCATGCACAGGAAGCCGGATGGAGCGTTCCCAGAAAGGCCACGGGACTGACGCCTGTGGGTTTCCATCATGTTTCTGAAGAGGGGAAAGAAAACTTTTTCTTTCTTTTTAAGAAAAAAGGCGAGTTAGAAAAAACAAGCAGAAAAATATTTCCAGACAGTAGCAGCTGGAAAACAATCTGGGACTTGGGGCAGAGGGCAGGAAGCATGCTGAGACAGCGCCCTGAGGGGCAGGAGACCCTGAAAGCCCTCTTTGGAAGCTGGCTTGAGGGATCAGCCCCTTTGCCCTGAGCCCACAGGAGACCTTCATCTGACCTCCATTTCCTGGGGGAGATGGAGACCTGTGTCTGCCCTCCCACAAGGGACGGTATCTGTGGAAGGAAAGCCTGGTGGGGGAGGCTATGGGGCCCTACCTCGCAACTGCTGTGCCATTAACCAGCTCTCTTTCTTTCCTTAGATCCTGATCTCTGAGGGGAGAGACAACCAATATCTCTGCTTGCAAAGCAGGCCCTGCTCCCAGGCAGCCTCCCCCAAAAGTCCAATGCCCTAGCCCATGGGCAGGAGCAGCAGGATGCTAGGGGCGTCCCTCCCTGCCGGCCTCAGGGAGTGAAGGTGGAACGAAACCAAGGGACTCTGGATGCCAGGCCCCATTTTGTACCTAACTTTCCTGTACAACATCGTTTTGTCGGTTGTTTGTTTTTAAGTTTTATATTTTGGCCATCCCACACAGCAAGATTGCCCAGGTGCTGAATAAAACAAGGTTTTTCTATTCTGGAGCTCTGCACATGGCATGCTGGCCGGGTTGGCCACAGCTGGGTTGGGCTCAGGAGATGTCCTTGGGTTTTAGTCTCCTCATGAAATGTGGAAAGGGCAGCTGCCATTCCTGCCCACACCCCAGCGACCTGCAGGGCACCAAGCGCATCTGTCGTGGGAACACTGTGAGCTTTAGCCCGAGACCAAGCTGTGTTGCTGGGTAGAGGAGCCCCTCTCACTGAGTGAGGGCAGAGGTGGTAGGTGGCTCTGGCCCTGAGCCCCTCCTTAGTCTTCCACCCTTCACCGACCCTTCTTCCCTCCTCAGCCTATAGCCTCAGAACCCCACCCATCCTGGCTCTGGTTGCTCTCCTGAAGCCACCCACAGCAGTTGTGGTGCTGAGCACCCACGGGAGAATCCTAGCTCCTGAGAGAACTCATATAACTACACGGTGACAGGGTGCACTCTGTGCCTGGGCAAGCAGAGGAGTCTTAATGTAAGAGAAGGTCCCCTTTCCAAAGAGAAAGGGGATAGGCATTCCTAACAGAGGGAATTGTGTAGTAGTGAGATGAGCCTGGAGGCTGAAGGGAATAGGAGACGGAGCAAGACCCCCTTTCCTGTCCCAGTTGTGGTATCTGAGCAGTCCTGGACACAGGATTGGACCAAGGAGAAGTGGAAGGAGGGTATCAACCCATTTCCTCCCTTCCCACCAGCCCTTAGAGTTTCTCTCCACCCACATGCCCCTGCCACTTTCTTTCCCATCAGAGAACACTCATGAGAAAGGGAAAGAGACTTGGCCCAAGAACTAGGGGTCTGTGCCAGGTGTTCTCCTGGCATGAGTTTGGGCCAGGCATGCTATATCTCTGTGCCTCATTCCATCATCAATAAAATGGAAATGCTCTCCTGCCTGGCTTACCTACTGTTATGGAGCACCAATGGCCACTGATTCAGGGGAGGTGCCTGCTGAGCTATAGTACCAGCACCCACCCCTCAGCGATGTGCTCTGTTGCAATCCTTGCCTCGGTCCCTGCAGCTAGGAGGTCTTCTGGTAGGTGGTAGTAGTGGGGACCTCCCAGAATGTTCCTGGCTCTAGTCCACTGGAATGGCTAAACCAGGCAGCAGAACCCAACTCTCCTGGCAAGGGGTCCTGGGCCAGCCACTGTACATCTGGGTCTGGACCAGGAAACCAAGCAGAAGCTCAGACACAGCCTGTGTCCCAGATCACTAGTCCACTGAATCAGCTGCCCAGGTGTGCCTCAAAGATGTGACCCTGCACCAGCTCCTCCCCTTCCTCTCTTGAGTTCTCTAGAGTGAGCCAGGAGAGCTCAAACAAGGTTAGAAGGACCCTAAGAGGTAAAGCCAACTCAAACAAGGCTAGAAAGGTCCCTAGGAGGTGAAGTTTTCTTAAGCCGTCCTCCACCATCCCTTCTTCCCTCTGAGGCTGGGATACACTGGATGGATTTGCTCAAGGCCTTCCAACACGGACAGACATTGGGTGGGAGAAGGTTCGAGGGCCTCCCTCAGCCACCACCATGAAGGGCACACATGAATCTCCATCCTAGACCCACTGGGCTTCACAAACTGACTGAGAGGATCTTCTCTAGCACCCTGAACACTGGCTACAGAGAACCTCAACATCTCCTGCCCAGTAGCCTGCCCTGTTCTCCTCTGGTTCAGCCTTAGTTCAGCTTACCACCTTTCCCAAGGCTTGCTGGAACGCTTCAGCCTGCACTGAGCTCTGAACCCTCAGCCTCACCTTGGGTTGGATCAAAGGACCACTTACTTGGTAACAGTGAACATGAACATGGGAGGATGGGAAGGACAGGGACAACAGAAGCCCTAACTACCCTCAGTCTCTCCATCTGCATCTCAGGGGGATGGGCTCCTTGGGCCTTAGAGATAATTTTTGTATGACAGAGAAATGGCAAGGAAGAGAAGAGAGAGGGAAAGGTAGAAATGAAAGCTGAAGAAGGACATAGAGCAGAGTCCAGCCCAGTCTGGGAAGGGGGAGACCACTGCTGGACTCAGACATTGGCCAGAGAGATTGCTGTACCTGCTGCCTACACAGGCTGTGTGACATTGCCTGATTTCCAATCCTCAGTACCCATGTAAAAGCTGGCACAGGGACATATGTCTATAACCCCAGTACTAGGGTCAAGTTGGGGGAGACAGAGGCGGGTGGATACCTGGAGCTCACTGGCCAGCCAGTTTAACCAGTTGGTGAACTCCAGGTTCAGTGAGAGACCTTGTCTCAAAAAATACAGTAGAAAGCTGTTGAGAAAGATACCAAACATCGACCTTTGGTCTCCATGGACACGTGCACATCTACCTGCACAATCGCCTATACACATGCACACACACTGCACGCACGCACACACATGCATGCAACATGCATGCCTGGAATATCAGAAAAGGACATTATGCAAAGGGTAGGCCTGTGGTCCTCAGACTCCTGTCACTGCACATGTCTCAGTAATTCAAGCTTCTGGGATGATGCTATCTCTTCTTGCAAAGCTTGGGCACAAGACACCACAAGGCCACATCCTTCAAGGCTCACAGCTCCCCCAGAGAACTTCCAGGAGCAAGACACTGTCCTCAAGACTAGCAGAGCCACAATGGCATCTTCCCCAGCCTGGGGACACCCTCCAGCCTCTTTCCTCCACCTGCTTCTGCTACCCTACTCAACTACTCAGTCTTCTCAGTTCCCATGGGACAACTTTCATCATTCCCAACATGCACCACTTCAGTCCTGGCCCTTGGGGTGGGGAAGCACAAAGACTTTCTACAGTGGGAAAGAGAAAATCCTACAGAAGATCAAGAAGAAGAATTAAGAAGAGCTAATTTCTCCAGTGCTTCACCGTGTTCCAGGCTCTGCTTAGCTAAATACTACACCCCATACAACCCACTATGTTGGGATATAACAGAAGCCCTTCAATTCCCATTTTGCAGATGGACAAACTGAGATCTATCAATAACCTCTGTTAGACCCTCAGAAGCATTTGGGACCAAACAAAAGGGCAGACCACTGCCTAAACCCTTATCCAGATCCTCCGTAAGCTTGCTAGAATGCTCAGAACTGCTAGACACAAAGTAGGGGAGGAGGTAAAGTACAATTCCTCCCGGGCATACAATTCCTACTTAGAATGTTCTTTATGGGTACAAATGAAAACAGATCACCAATAATCAATACACAGACATGTGAAATGTGGGATTAGGGAATATCAGTACATAGGAGATTACTTTTGACATATAACAGTTTCCTACATGGGGCCAGGGAGATGACTCAGTGGGTGAAGGTGCTTGCCTCCAAGCCTGATGACCTCCACACATGCTCCAACATACACACTTGCACACATGCACAAATAAAATACATAAAGTGATTTACAATTTTCTTAAAGATTCATACATGCTTATAAGTTGGAGTGTTTCAACAATCAATAATATTTCTCTAGGAATAATTTTTTAAACTGCCAAAATCAACTTGAGGAGTGAAAAGCACAAAAAGCCCAGTTATCCACAGAAGAATTTTGGAAGACGGCATTTCTAAAAAGAACATCAGGCTTAAAAGAGGATCTTAGTATGAGTTCTTTCAAAGGGGAAGAACAGGTAAATCTGTTGTTTAAACTTTTTCAGAACACTGTGCAAGCATTAAACTGATCTGATGCTTCTGAACCAGCCAGTATTATGGGGCAAACATAATCCTGACACCAAAATCTGACAAAGATAGCCATCCTGCCCACCCACGCTCACGTGACAGCCACAGCCCAGTTTTACTCCTGGTTGTGGATGCCAGAGTCCTGGATAAAATGCCAGCAGATGGCATCCAGAACCATTGTGTGGTCTGACGCCATTAGCGTTTGGCATTCTCCCCTGTACCCAGATCTGTGCTGGGTAATGCAGGGAGCCAAGGTCTGGGTCCAGGCAATTTGGATACAACATCCATTTTGTGTGGTCCTAAGTGTCCCTCAAGAAGCAGAGAGTGTGCAAAGCCAGTGTGCACAGCTTGCAAAAATGCTGTACAAAAAGGCTGCCATTTGGATTAATGCCACTTGCTGGCAACCTGTTCGCTAGAAGAGTCCATTAGCTCGATAATTTGTCATTTTTCTTCCTTTTGGAAAACTTTTGTTTGTTTCATTTTGGGTTTTTTGAGTGTTTGGGTTTCATTTGGGGCGTTTTGAGTTTTTTGAGTGTTTTGTTTCATTTCAGGGTTTTTGAGTTTGAGTGTTTTGCCTGCATGTATGCAAGTGCAACATGTGTATGCAATGCCCACAGAAGCCAAAAGAGGACATTGGATCCCTTGGAACTGGAGTTAAGGACAGGTGTGAGCTGCCTTGTGGGTGCTTGGAACTGCCCATGTGGGTGCTCAGGTCCTCTGGAAGGGCAGTAAGTGTTCTTAACCACTGAGTCATCTCTCCAGCCCTTCTTTTGTATTTTACCTTCTCTGCCTTCTTCCTACAGGGCTGGATTGTAGCTGATTTAAAAAATCAGATCCTATGCTGGGTGTGGTGGTGTACCTCTTTAATCCCAGCACTTGGGAGGCAGAGGCAGGTTAATTTCTGTGAGCTCTAGGCCAGCCTGGTGCCTGGTCTATATAGTGAGTTACAGGCAGGCTGGGGCTACTGGAGCCCCAATTTAAAAAAAACAAAAAACAACCAACCAACCAATCAGCTCCTGATAGAAGCCCTTATTTGCTGTGTCAATATGCATATCCCCAAAACATTGGGACAGTGCCTGTAATGCCATTGACAACCACATCCTGGGCTCAAGGGGCTCAGTTCTCTGACAGCCCACTCATGCCGGGCAAGAGAAAGCCTTAACTTGGGCTGGGGTTCCAGCAGCTTGCCAGGGAACAGACGTTACTGCACTTGGAGGCCACCAGGGGGAGCGGGACTCTGTTTCCTCAGGAGTACTTCAGGAATGGGTGATTTTTTCTGGACTCAGGACATCAAAGGCCGTTTCATTTCCGATTCACATGCAGCCATTGTATCTCTTACCTTTAAAGTATAATTAAGGAATTTTAAGGAA